CACCCCCCCCCTGCCGCCGCCAAACGGGGTGCCTCGGCACCTTGTGGAGCCAGTGAGCCTTGCCCACTCTCCCTGGGGGGTGGGCCACGCCCCCGTAAATCGACTACAACCTCAGATCAGATAAGACAACCCCCTGAATTTAAGCATATTACTAAGCGGAGGAAAAGAAAGTAACTAGGGTTCCCTCAGTAGTGGTGAGCGAAGAGGGAAGAGCCCAGCGCTGAATCCCTGTCTGATGGGCGGGCGTGGGAAATGTGGCGTACGGAAGACCGCTTGCCCGGTGTCACTCGGGGGCCTGAGTCCTTCTGATCGAGGCACAGCCCGTGGACGGTGTGAGGCTGGTAACGGCCCCCGTCGCACCGGGGTCCGGTCTTCTCGGAGTCGGGCTGTTTGGGAATGCAGCCCAAAGCGGGTGGTAAAGTCCATCTAAGGCTAAATACTGGCACAGGGCCGATAGTCAACAAGTACCTTAAGGGAAAGTTGAAAAGAACTTTGAAGAGAGAGTTCAAGAGGATGTGAAACCATTGAGAGGTAAACAGGTGGGGTCCACACAGTCTGCCCGGGGGATTCAACTCGGCGGGTCAAGGGGCGGCTGCACGAAGTGGGAGGATCCCCTCAGCGGGACCTCTCCCCGGGTGCATTTTCTCCATTGGTGGTGCTCCGCGACCAGCTCCGGGTCGGCCCGGAAGGGCTCGAGGGTGAAGGTGTCCGCGTGCTTTACAGCGCTCGCCTGTCAAAGTGGAGAAATTCAATGAAGCGCGAGTAAACGCCGGAAGTAACTATGACTCTCTTAACACTAACAGTCACTCAATCTCCTGCCACGTGCCCAAGTGTCAGGGGCGTGAGGAGAGGGGGACGAATGAGGGAGAGTTTGTCTGTGGACTCTGCCAAACGGGATTCAAGACCCAAGTTGGATGTACACAGCACCGGAGGCACACCCACGCAGCGGAACACAACAGGGAGAGGATTGAAAGAGCCAGGGAACCAAGGGGAAAGGTCAGGGGGACTAAGCTATGGAGGCCGGATGAGATTGGGGTGCTGATAGAATTGGCCCGGCAGTACAAAGATGATCTGGGCAGGTACAAGCGTATAGCAGAGGCGCTTGATACCGGGAAGACAGCTGAGCAGGTGAGGAGAAAATGTAGATTGCTGTGAGATGAGATAGCACGCCATGACCTAGATGAGGAAGAGAGTCGGAGAAGCCAAGATTTGGAGGCACTGAAGGAACCGTTCATCTCACAGCCTCCCCCTACCTTGGCTGTTTTTAATCTAAGGGAAGCACTCGAAGAAGGGGGAGGGGGGATCAGAAGGTGGGAATGAGGTCAGGGTCATGGCGGAGCTGGCAAGAGATGTAGACCAGGATCCTGGCCTGATCGAATCTACAGCATCAGAAATCATTGGGCGGCTGAGAAAAGAGGTAGGAAGGTCA